AGAGAAACCAGAAAATCAGTAGATAAAGTGATAAATAAGGAGGGACGCATATTAATAGAAAAAATAGAGGAAAGAGGATGGGCGATCTTAAACGGGAGTTTCGGAAGGGAAGGGGGATGGACATATATAGGAGACGTGGGATCATCGGTTATAGACTATGTATTAGGGAATGACAGAGCAGGAGAGGAAATAGATACGGTGGAAGAAGGAACTAGAACGGAATCGGATCACGTGCCGCTGGAGGTGGAGCTGTTAGGACCCCGGGTGGTGGAGACAGGGAAAGGGAAGAAGGAAATAGTAGTAGAGAGAAGCGACTGGACAGAAGAAGGGAGGAGAGAATATCATGAAAAATGCGAAGGATGGAAAAGTACACAGACAAAAACAGAAGACATTTGGAAAGAGATGAAAGAAAAAGTAAAGAGCGCTATCACGAAGCGGAAGAAAAAAATAATACCTTGGAGGTTAGGAAGAAGAGAGTGGTATAATAAAGAATGGAAAGAAAGGAAAAGAAGATTGAGGAGATTGATGAGGGAATGGAAGAAGGGAAGGATCGGAAAAGATGAGTATGTGAAGGAAAGAAAGGAGCACAAGGAATGGTGTAAAGAGCAAAAGAGGAGGCACGAAAGCGAGGAAGTAGAAAAGATAAGGAAAGTCAAAAATGAAGCGGAAGCTTGGAAGTATATAAACAAATACAGGAAAAGGAAGGCTGAGGGGATAAGTGAGGAGATACAGATGGAGGAGTGGAGAAATCATTTCATGGAAATACTAGGAGGGACAGAGGAAAGAGTTATGTTAGAAATAGAAGAAGAAGGAGAAGAGGATGGTGAGAGAGAGGAGGTGGCAGAGGGAATAGAAGAAATATCGAGGGAAGAGGTGATCGAAGTAATAAAAAAACTGAAGATGGGAAAGGCAACGGGAGAGGACGGAATTGAGAACGAGGCATGGAGATTTATGCAGAAGGAGATGGGAGAAGAATTTTTAAAATTAATTAACAGAATCTGGAAAGGAGAGGGCATACCGGGAGACTGGAATAAAGGTATGATTAGTCCAATATACAAGAGAGGAGAGAGAAACGACCC